TCGTGTTCAGCTCAAGTGGAGAAAAAAAAAGCTTTTTAGCTTAATCCATGTCTGAGAAACTGAGCCTTCATATTTGCTAGTTTAAAATTATACGCTTTTGGTTCTCATATTGTCACTTTTGGTGCAATGATTAATTATTGCCTTTGGGTGCACCCCATATTCAGGAAACCAAGAAGATTGTGGCTCCTATCAGCGACTCTCCCAAACCACCGCCACAGCGTGTAACTATGACTTTTCCAGTGGTGAACTCTGCACGCTGTGTGGCTTTTATATCAACAGGAGGAAGCAAAGCACCCGTTTTGAAGGTAACACTTAGGGGCGTTTGCTGAACATTCACATCTCAAATTCTGAATCTTAACACCCTACTATTTCCATAACGCAATAAATAAACTTTGACACTGATGAGACAAAAATGAGACGCACCAAAAAACAAGGGTAATTTGGTCAGGTCATGTGACTCAATATTTATAGTTGAAAGGAGGACTGGGGCCAGAAGAAACACTGATGGGACTAAATAAGCCAAAGATGTGACTTTGAGCAGAAATCATTGCATTTATTCATTTATTATATTTTTATACAGTGATCTAAAACTAGATGTGAAAACTAGATTTTTCAAAACATCTGAAACAACTTTTGCAAACTTTAAAACTAACAAATTAAATAAAAATATAGAGGCAAGTTTTTAGTATTTGTTAGTTTAGTAAAAATTTAATTACAACTTGTTGACGAGGCTCTGATTATCATGTTTATTCAGATTATTTTAAGGATTGTATATTGTTGGGCGTTTGTCAGCAAAAACACACAACTGTTTGAAAACATCCAAACGCCCAACAATATACAATCCTTAAAATAATAATTTAAAAAGTTAACCTTAAACTAATAAAAACTAAACTAAAATATTTTCAAAGAATAAAAAATGAACAGAAATAGAAAAAAATCTGAAAATTAACTGAAACTGAATTTAAAAACAAAAAGTCAAAATGAAATAAAAAAAAAACTAATTAGAAAACACTAAACTGTAATAACCTCATGCTTTATAGTTTTGTGTTTGTGCTATTGTAACACATTAATTTCTCTCTTTTTATTTGCAGGAAGTGTTGGAGGATGGAGAAGCTTCACCGTTTCCAGCAGCACGAGTTGTCCCAACTAAGGGCGAGCTGTTCTGGCTTGTCGATGAACCAGCAGCTGCCTCTTTAACTATCCAGGTAGAGAGGCTAGGCTCAGGAGCCAAGCTGTAGATCTGCCTGACTAATAAATGCAGGAACCTCAATGAAGAGTCTGGAAAATAGGGCAGGACATTCCTCAATCAGTGAAATGTTTGTTTGTGTG